TACCATTTTAATTTTCGTCTCTTCACTGTGGTCAGTAGATCTTCATGTTGCCCTACTGCGTTGGCGATTCTCTTTCGTACCTCAGCATTCTGAAACGTGGTCTTTGTACGAGATGTCAAGGAGTCTGCACAAGATAGTTCACTCCCCTCTAATTTAAAAAAAAGTATCCTCAAAATTCGTTGGCAGCCTCTTCGAAAAAGTGCGGACTTTGCGATCCGAGTCACACCTATTTGTGTGAAAAACAATAAAAATGAAACTAACAAACGGTGCTATTCCTATTCTTCTTCAGGAGAAATGAAAGAGAGCTTCAAAAACCTTGAACATCAATGATTTATTTATAGAGACACCAGCTATTCTTGCCCAGGTGGTGTTTAGCCTCTTTTTCCTGTCTGCGGATTAATATTCTTTTTTCCAATGTATTGGTTCCGCTTCCATATAGCTTCAAAAAACCTTGACCATCAATAATTTATTTATAGAGGCACCAGCCATCCAGGCCCAGGAGCTGTTTTAGCCTAGCTTAAAAAATAAAGACCACAGCACTATCTGAACCAATGAGCGGACTTCCGCGTACACTTTTTTGGCTGAGTGAACTATCTTGTTATGTACGATCTTTGGTCAAATTTACCTTCCTTATTTTTGTTTTTGTTTCCCTTCTACTTCCAGAAGACCCGCGACGCCTCTCAAAGTGAAGCCGGCTGCAGAGGGTGACTAGTGAGTAACTAATTACCACAATAATGTAGCCTTGTAAGCTATAACTTGTACAATGCATAATACATAATATCTATCTATCCATCTATCGACAACAATGTAGCATTTAAGGCAAGAGCCTCTATCTATCTATCGATCCAACTATCTATCTATCTATCTATCTATCTATCTATCTATCTATCTATCTATCTATCTATCTATCTATCTATCTATCTATCTATCTATAGGAAACTAATTATTAATTTGAAAACAAACTGACACTTTTATAAGGTACCTAAACTGCTTTCCAGGTAGCCTAGTAAAGCTTACAGAACCCTACTTTCTTTCTGGGAAGCTTTTGTTATGCATAACCCGAATTCAGCAGGCTTCGTATGTCTTGTTGTGATTAGAATAACATTGCATGGATACCTTGCGGGCTTTGGTGCTGGTGGATATTCTGTCCTGGGCACTCTGGAGTGAAGGGCAATGAGGAGGCTGATAGGCTGGCAGGCAGTGCCGTGGTTGATGGTGAGGTAAAATTTGATAAAGGAGAAGTGTTGAAGACCCTGGAGGAAAAGTTGCAGGAGGAGGAAGACAGGGAGACAGCAGAACACCACGCAATCATTAGGATGCGGGAAATAGGGATAGAGAGGGGAGAAGGAAGAAAGGAGCGATTATCTGGAAAGGAAAGAAGTCGCCATAATCAGACAGCCACCGGAACAATCAGCATGGGTACCTTGCGGGCTTTGGTGCTTTGGGGGGGGGGGGGGGGAACTGAACACTTATGGACCTGTCCGGTGTGCAATGACGTTGTTGCCTAGAACAGGTAATACAGGTAATACAGGAATAACATTAAACCTCACAGACATTGGAGTTACGGTAAAGACTATGTCCTTTTCAGAGAAACAATTTTTTTCGCAGGATTTAACTATATTTTTGAGACACCCGGAATCTGAACCATTTGGCACTTCTGTCAACATGAAACAAAAAACATGATGTAAAGTATATTGTTATGTCATCCTCATTTTTTTTTCAAAATATGATGAGTTGGATTTAGGTGAAAAGGTATCCAAAACAACAACAACAACAACAACAGCAACAACGACAACAACAACAACAACAACAACAACAACAACAACAACAACAACAACAACAACAGCATCACCACCACCACCACCTCCGCAACATCACCACCACCACCACCACCACTACCACCACCAACAACAACAACAACAAGAACAACAACAACAATAACAACAATTGCAGCAACTATAACAATACGGTACTGAGGGGAGTAAAAGTTAATATAAGATATTACATGATAAATCAACAATCACCATGGTTACAATATACATGTACATATTTATAACAAAACCTATATGTGAGGCAGCGTGGTGGAATCAGGCTCTCGTCAATTTTTGAGCATACTGAGTTATTGGTATCATCGTAAAGCTCGTTCATTTGTCTTTCTTTCAATGAAAACATTACCCGTCCATCTTCAATAGAAGTGGAGATATTTTGGATTGAAGGAGGTGGGGGTCACCTGGTTTAAGAGGTAAAGTAAGGGAGGAAATGGCACCCAAAGCTTTGTAAATTCCAAAGCTGGAGAGTCCATGGAAACTGTAAATTTATATTTTTGTGCCTTTAATCAACGTTTTCGGTGAAATCCTCAAAGGAATGTGTTTGTAAATGGACATAAAAGGTGTTGAGCCAAAAAACAAAAATTTGATTAAAATTCCTAAGCAGGGAGAAAACTGCTGTTTTCTTCGATTTCATTATTTTGGCGAGAGCCTGATTCCACCACGCTGCATCACATATATTTCTTTCACAGTTTGAAGACATCCGGGGTATCAAAATCGTCGGCGGAGTACAAAGACTTCGCCTGGAGATCAGGTAATTAGTAGCTGTCGTCAAGGTAAAAAAGCAGGTATTCATATTGTGAACATTATACTGAATAATAATGCAAGTACATTGTATCGCTTTTCATCCCTTCAGGTACCGCCCAGTCTCTTATGGCGATCGTTTTTGTTTATTTCAAAGAACTAATTTTTGAATTTTGAGTTTCTCTGACCAATGCACAATTAATAGAGCGAGGCTGCTGCTGTTACTTAATGCAACGGAAGGATGGATGGATGATATAAAAATGCACTTTTTCTTTCTCTCTCTCTTTTTTTTTTGGCAAGTGTTTTACGGTGCTCGCAACTGCATAAGGTCATGTGAGCGTGCGGGCGGGACACATTAAATATTTTCAGTAAGTAGAAAATTTTGAATTTTGCCCGGGTGGCGACAGATGCCTACTCTTATCGATTTTTGACCACCAAGGGATCTTTAGCGTGCGCAACTTGCAAACGGGACCTCCGAGATTTTTCTGCCTTATCCGAAAAGGCTAGGTGTTGATCTTACCTTCGATAAGATCAGGAGTGTGGCAGAAAGACATCAGTAAGAAGGAGCCAAGACGTAGCAGTAAAAAAGGCTGCAGTAAGAGTCAGGGGCCACGAGGAGGGGGATAAGGAGGTGATGGGGTGGGGGCAGAACGTGGAGAAGAAAGCAGACGACAGAACATTGCTAGAGAACAGGAAAGGATGTGAAAGGAGAACATTTTAGAGAAGAAAAAATTATCCGTTGCTATTCGGATTCGAACTCGGGACCAATTGAATTAGAGGCGAACACCCTAACCTCTAGACCACGAGACCCCCCAAAAATGCACTGTGTGTGGCGCGTAACAAAGCGTCTCTTAAAGTGTTGTTATTCCACTCTTCATGCGATGCTCTCTCAAGTTGAGGAAGTGTCTGGGGCTGGGGTTGTCGCATGTTTTTCAACTCACCTCTGGTTAGTCTTGCCGTTTTGAAACGATTCCGTAGATGCGACAGGCGTATAAAAAGATCCTCTCTTGGAGTAGTTTTTCTTCTCCCACGTTGGCGGTGTCGATCCTTTCCTAATTTTGTTGTTTTCTCGCGATCCATTGTTGTGTACACAGTTCTTCGTGTTACATTAAAATGTCTCGCAGCAGTGGATACTGAGATACCCCCCGCGGATCATTCCAAAGAGCTGATTTCGCACATTTTCTCGTACGGCGTGACATCATGAAACGTAGACAAGACAAGTTTTATCACAGGCGAATTGTTACAAAAATGACAAAGCTTTGATGTGTGCTTCTTTTTTAAACAAATCATTGCCGAATCATGATTAATTTTCAAAAAACACGAAACATGTAACACGCATGCAGATACAAAACCACTCGCGCGTTCAGAAATCTGAAAACAGCTCACCAGCGACAGGTATATCACGTAATCAGTGTGTAAATTTGAAAGTAATTGGTGGCATTGATTTAATTTTATTGAGGTTCAAAATGTGTATACTTAAAAATGTGACAGAGTAGGTATATATATAATAATAATATATATATATATATATATATATATATATATATATATATATATATATATATATATATATATATATATATATTTATTTATATATCTTTTCTTTCCCCCTGTATTATAATGACACTCTCCAGGAAGACCACCTGTCTAAGAACACCACTTTGCTCCTGGACAATGGCTCATCGTCTTGGACAGGTTTGACTATCACAGTACTATGAGCTTCAAAGAAGAGCAAAAGGGGGAGGGGAGGGGGGGGGGGGCTCTCGTGGCCTACAGATTAAGGTGTTCACCTCTCATTCAAAGGTCCCGGGTTCGAATTCGGGTAGCGATGGAAACATTTTCTTCTCTAAAATTGTCTCCGTTCACCTCCTTTCCTGCTGTTAAGCAATGGTCTGTCGTCTGCTTTCATCTCCACTTTCGTCTCCACTTTTTTCCCCACCTCCTCACCTCCTTTGCACCTCCTCTGGGCTCCTGATTCTTTCTGCAGCCTTTCTATTATTTCTAATGCTAATTCTTTGCTCCTTCTTACTGCTGTCTTTCAGCCATACCCCTGTTCTTCGTTAAAGATCCATTGTTGGTCTAAAATCGATGAGAGCAGGCTTCGGCCGCCACCCGGGCAAAATTCAAAATTTCTTACAAACTGAAAATGTTTAATGTGTCCAGCGTACCCATATGACCTTGTGCAGTTGCGAGCGTCGTAAAACACTCACAAAAAAAACAAGAACAAAAGAGCTGCGATTCTCTATTTGGTTCTAGTTGACTTGGCAAAGGGGTCAGAACAAAAAATAATACCATTTTAATCTATCATTAATCGCTCATTATAGAGGGACAGATTTATGGTCTATTTGTGCAAAAGAATGCAGCAATTTTAGAGACATTAAAACACTAGGTAACATAGGCCTATACTGTCTATGGCCCGATACCCATTCACTTTCCCATCTGGGTAATGTGAGGAAAATTAACCAAGTCTCTTTTAGACTATTCATAACGACATCAATTACAAGGGGGACATTAACCATGTTTTTATGCATAGAAGAATTGTAATTGTAAATGGGCTGATTCATCCATATCATGCTAATAACTGTGCCTGGACTGCAACAGGGAACTGCTGCTTGATCTTCCGTAATCCTTGCTATCGGAATTTTTCCTCTACTTCTTTTGTGTGTTTGTCACACTCTTGCAACCCGCCATTTTGATAGTTGAAGCAGACTTTGTGCTGTTGTAGCTATAGAGGTGAGCAGAGTAAGCCTGATTCCCTGTAAGGCCTTCTCTGTTGATATTCACCCCTTGGCGCTCATATGACCTTATGCAGTTGCGAGCGCGGTAAAACCTCTGCTAAACCTTTTTTTAAAATACCGAAATCTGTGGTTTATTGGCAAGACTCCTCACCGTTGCAACCTGAAGACCCGAGTTTGTCCTCCGGAGTGGGGAAGTTTAAAAACCCCCAACAAATCTAGTACCCTTCACTACTTGCCGGGATGTTGTAACCCACTCAGTTAGGTTTGGCTCCTACAAAAAGGGTCTTAGCAGCCTTCCTCTTAATCGGTCTCAGTTGTTTCGATAGCGTGTAAAACAAATATATGTAATGCCAGGCCTCTAGGAAATAGGTATCCCATATAAAGGCCAAAAACTCCGTCATCTTTCGACCAATTTAAAAAAGCTTGACACAAATAGTAAAGGAGACATCAAATTTGTCAAAATGAAGAAAATCAATCTATGTATTTGAGAATAATAAAGTTTTTACAAAAAAAATTCATCCAAAAATTGGGTGAAACGAAACAAATTTAATCATGTCTGTCTTTCTTTTTCATTTACTTCTGTCAGGAGATGGCTTCGAAACTGGACTCCCCGCTCCTCGACCTACGGCAGCACTCACCAAAGTAGTACCTTAGACTTACTTAGAGGACAGACACAGTAGTACCTTAGACTTAGAAGACAGACAAAGTAGTACCTTAGACTTACTAAGAGGACAGACACAGTAGTACCTTAGACTTACAGGACAGACAAAGAAGTACCTTAGACTTAGAAGACAGACAAAGTACAGTCCGTGCGGGTGTCTAAATAACATTGCACACTTTTGCGGGACCGCTATATTGGCCTACTTACAAACTAAGGGAAATAGCACGGGAAATTTTCTACATGAAAATCTCTGGATTATGTCTACTTCGCACTCAAGCACGCTTCGGCTTTAAGCACGCTTAAGCTTTCTCCCGACGACCGTGCTTAAAGCCGGCATGGACTGTAGTACCTTAGACTTAGAGGACAGACAAAGTAGTACCTTAGAGGACAGACAAAGTAGTACCTTAGACTTAGAGGGCAGACAAAGTAGTACCTTAGACTTAGAGGAGAGACAAAGTAGTACCTTAGACTTAGAGGAGAGACAAAGTAGTACCTTAGACTTAGAGGACAGACAAAGTAGTACCTAAGACTTAGAGGACAGACAAAGTTGTACCGTAGGCTTAGAAGACTGACAAAGTAGTACTTTAGACTTACAGTAGTGCCTCAGAGGACAGACAAGTACAGACAGAGTCTATGCCAGAGAACAGCTTGACCGACGAACAGTCCAGTGTTTAATTTACACAATAAACATAATGCTTTACGCAATGTGGGTGCGTGAAAAGTAGAACATTCTAGATTATAGATTGAATAGAGAGGTTGCAAAAGGAGTAACCTCTACGCTTCGACCATGCCGAAGAACCGGTCTGCACAACAAATATGATGCTTTATGGTTGCGAATTCTGGACGCTTGAAGATAGCACATTCTAAGTCATATACTGAATAGAGTTTGTGCAAAATAAGTTACTCCCACCTTCTACACCATGTACATAATATGTGTCACAGTCACAACTCAGTGGGATCAGGCGCAAGTCAATTTTTGAGCATCTGGAGTTATTGGTTTCGTTTTAAAGCTTGTTCGTGTCTTGCTTTGGAGAGAAAAAAAATACCAATCTATCTTGAACACAAGTCGAGATATATACGATTGAAGGAAGGGGGGGGTCGCCTGATTTCAGAGGTAAAATTAGGGAGAAAATGGCAGTCAAGGTTCGACGACTTCCAAAGCTTAAGAGTCCTAGGAAACTGAACAGCTGCAATT